TACAGGTGTGAATTTGACCTTCCCAGTGATCCAACAAGACTTTGGCCACTTGCTGCTTCTGATCTATAATTTCTTCCTCTATAAGTTGGAACGTGTAGTTGGATCAAGCCCTAGAGAACACCTTATCCAGTCTCCTTATATTAATGATAAAGGGACTTTGTCTCAAAGTCTGTAGACTATTTACACAATACTTCTTTTTTCTTATTTGTTGTTTTAAAATACACATTAAAGTGGGGTGTATTTTGATCCCATTCTTGTGGTTGAACATGATACGGAATTATACTGGTCATGTATTCATATATAAACATAGGAAAGTTATGTTTGATTCATTCTGTTGTCTTTCCTATTCCCATTTCCCCTCCCTTCCCTTCACTCTCCCCATACTTCTTACTGATAGAGTTAGAATGAAAAAAGTATCAGCTTTCCATGCACCATCTCTAACAGCTTTGCTTCCATTCTTCAGAATGACTCTTCCAAGCATCTCAGCCCTTCAATCTCCAATGTGCTTCTTTCTTTTCCCTTTATTTCTCCATATTTATCAGAGAACATGTCCTGTCTAGGAACTCTGGATCCAGACAGCCTTTCTAGATTACCCTTCTAGTCCACCCCCCAAATACTGAAATCCAGTCATAACAAACTTTTCATCCTTCCCCAAACAGAGCCTGCTTTTTACCACCCATGATGTTTCCATAGATCCTTCCTTATCACAGTACCTTTCTTCCCAGACTGCAAAACCAGCAAAGGTGTCTCCAGTCCTTTGGAACCTTTACTGATTCTCTCTAGGAGAATTCATCAATTCTTCTCCTGTACTCCTGCAACAGTCTATTCGTCTTAGCACAGCCTGCTCCCCGCTTGACATATCTGTTGTGCTCACTGGACTATGAGGTTTCTTAAGGGTCAGGACTAGATCTTATTTTATTTGTTCATTGTAGTATCAGCACTTAATACAGTAGGTGGAAGATTATAGGCATGCAGTAGTTGTTTTATGAATAAATGTACCTGGATTCCTTAACTTCTTATCCAGCTGAGCTCTGAATATTGGATATCACCCAGTTGTATCCAGAGGTATGAGTGGAGATAATATAACATGAGTCATGGTAATGATGGGTCTAAAAGTCCCAATTAATATAGTCTGTGTGGAAGGACAAAATAAAACCCTTGTGATTAGGGATTGCTATACAAGTAGCCAAAAAAGTAAATGATACCTCAAGAATAAGATCCATGTTGAGGGCACAGAAATAAAGAGAAGTTGGATTTGATCTGTGCGTACCATATACACGTGTGGAAATATCACACTGAACCCATTCACATTTACAAGTAGCACATGTTAATCAAAGGTAAATTTTTTTAAAAAAATCAGAACAAATACACACTGGTGTGCATGTGTATGTGTAATACTTATGATTAAAATATATACCATCCTATTAATTCTTGTATCACTATTCACGACTCAGTAAGAGCTGTGTGGAGAGAGGTGTAAACAACTCAAGTGTAGATCAACCCTGTTTCCTGCTCTTCCCTTGAGCACCACCCCTGCCCTTACCAGGAGGTAATATTTACAGAAGCAAGTTGCTTTTAATTCCTGTATAAGGTGTTCTTCCTTAACTTGGACTGCTGCCCCTGCAATTGTGGTGGTGTCTATCCTTATCAGAATTTTTATTTCTTTAGCTTCTTATTGCAGCAGTTGCATGGAGCATGGGAGACCCATCTCTCAATCAAGGCATGAAATACTTCAGCTCCTGTGATTTGTTCCACTTTGGATATTCACACTTGTTTGGTTCATTTTTCCCACCTGGCACTGAGCACTGGGATTTTCCAAGCCATACTATTCTTTGGGAATTGGTCTCCTCAAGGCAGCATTATTTGTTCCCTGCCTCCCTCCCATCCCCACAAACTGGTCTTGGGCTTTATTAGTACTTCTAAATTCCATAATAAATCACAAGATTTGCCACATGCCAAATCTTCTAAAAGGCATACCTGGTGAATGGTCATAATGTCTGTGATCTCCCTGTCAAATATCTATTGGTCTTTGAGACCATTTCAGATATATTTTTGAGTTAGACACATGTCTCAGTCTTGTAACCCTGCCAATGCCATACCACAAGACCACAGTTAAATCTCTGCATGCTTTTGCAATGCTTCCATTTTGCTAAATCTTCCATTATTGCGCTTTTTTCCAAACAGTGGTGATAATATATTGATCCTATATAAGAAGAGCCGTCTTTAATACAACAAAGATATTCTTTACCTTCAGATCCACAATGAATAAAGCAAAAAAAGTGTTTGTCAGTACATTTAATTCATTTACCTCTTCCATGATAATCCACATTTCTACAACGACCTCTGACTCCAAATCTAGATTATATAAAAAGATATATAAACACAGATATATGCTATTACTGCAATAGTACCTGTACTCCTACTCTGAACTTAAAAAATAAATTGTATAAACAAGAAATAAGGTTTGCATCTGTAAAGTTATAAGCAACCACCAGAAAATAGAAACAAACATGTGTGATATGCTGAGTTCTTAATAATTTAATACACAGATTAGTTTTCATACATGTAGTTGAACATTGGTTCACAAGGAAACTCAGATGTTCATTGTAAATCTTGAGTGTAAAACAACAAATATATTGCTAAGGCTTGAAATCATGTGAGTGAAATGGAAAGGTTGCCAGTTTGTAATTATAGCTATGGAAATATAATAGTGTGACTATGTAGTCAAGGGATTTAATCAGGGTGGTTGAAAAAATAACAAGTGCTTCTGTTCATAATTTTGTCACATACACACATTTCCATGGCAAAAGGCCAGATGCATTTATTGCAATTCAGAGATGACAAAGAGAGCTGATGGCCCTTAATGAGCAATTGATTAGCAGTAAACAGAGAGATATTAAGATTCTAGTTGAAATGCCATTCAGAACAGGAAGGCCATTTCCTTTAGTTGTGGCTCTTCACCCAACCTTATTTGTGAAGAAGGAGTAAGAAGGGAAAATTTAATTCTTGCATTTTATTATTTGATGATTATGAAGCCTAAATTATGAAGAAAAGCATAAATCTTCATACAAAAATTTACAGTCATGCAGAAATAACCTACAAGTATCTAGTAGCTCTCTTAAATGATGACCTGAGATTTGGTCCTAGAACTACTAAAATGATTGGGGAGGTGAGGATTTTTAAAAAAATCTATTTTGCTATATTATTATCTCAAAGACTGATTATTATGCAAAAGCATATTCCAATTTCAATTTTAAAAACTACTAATTTGTTCTCAGCAGCTGTAATTTGGGATCCCATGGGATGACATATGAGGATACACAGGAAACTCTGGAGGGTGTTGTGGGTTTGGTGCCTTGATTCACCAAAGCCACTTGGCTGAGATTTCCAATGTCTGCTGCTAAGCTAATATAGTGGCCACAGTGTAATCCATCACAGCTGTGAACTCACAATGTACAGATACAATAATGACTTGAAAACACACTAAAGGGGATAAAATAGGATGTATCTTCACTTTGGTTGGATTTTTAGGCAGCCAAATTGGGAAGAATTAGAAGATTGTGTTGGCCTGGGTAGGTGGCACTGGTTGCATGATAATAACAGCCATCTGTGTTGCTCATGGGTAGGGAGGTCCTACTAACAGGCAGCATAGGAAAGGTGTGTGAAAGTCACGTTGAGTCTGACCCTATGTCACCAATAAACTCAATTAACCAAAAATCTACTGAGTTCCTAGTTATGGCAATTAGGGGAAAGCAAAAATGACCGATATATTGAAATAGTACTTTTTACTCAACTTTGCATATTAATTAACATTTTAAAAAATACTTTCCTTGCAGTTATTAACATATGGCTCACTAGAAATACTATCTTATTTTAGGGGATATAAATGTACACACTATTCTTCAAATTTTATTGAAAATAATAGGTAATAATAGGCAATTTAATGTCTGTTAATTTTTTGAGTAACATTTAAAGAAAAAGCTTATTTTTACAAATCTTTTACACAAAAATTATGGCTGAGCCAGGCACAGTGACACATTGCTATAATCACAGTGGCTCAGGAGACTAAGGAGGATCACAAGTTCATAGTCAGCCTCAATAACTTAGAAAGACCCTAAACAATTAAGCAAGACCCTGACTTAAAATTTTAAAAAAGGAAAGAATTTAACAAGACCCTGTCTTAAAATAAAAAATAAAAAGGGCTGGAGATGTAGCTCACTGGTAAATTGCCCTTGGGTTCAATCCCCAGATCTTCATACTTTTCAGTATCTTCTTGAGGTTCCTTTCAGCCAAACTATTAGTGAAGTGTGATATCATTTCCCCTTTTGAATCTCTTAAAAGCTATTCAGTGTCTCACCAAAAAAAAAAAAAAAAAAAAAAATCCACGAACCCATATCCATCCCATACGTGTAAATAATACACCTGCATTGTACATATTTTCTGATAATTGGTCAGGTTGAGAAACACTTAAATGCTGTAAGTGAGAGTGCATATTTTTCTGAAGAAGAAACCCTTGGAATTACAACTCAGTTTGGAATTTCCCTTTCAAGTTACTGAAAAATTTATCTTGTCGTGAATGTGTGGATGTAGTTTTCCCCTGTGACAGAAAGAAAATTATTAGGACAGTCTTCTGATAAATTTAGCATGTTTGGGGGTCAGAATATTAGGGCTTTCCTATGCACAACCGTATGGAAAAGCCATTGTTGACATATCATATGTGCATTATGACTTTTTAAACTACAGCTGCGATTGTAATGGACAAGGTACAATCCTAAGACATGTTTTTAATGTATTTGAGTGCCTTTGTCCTTCTGTGCTTCTGGTCCTAAAGTAGCTCAGAAGAGTCTCTGCCGGGGGTTTGTCTTTGGAACCTTTCCAAGAGCTGAGCAGGTGATACCATAAACATATCCTAGTCTTGCCATTTGGGGTGAGCAAGTGGCTGGACATAGTGGCTCTTTCTGGATGTAAATTGATTGTAATGATTTCTTTCTCCTGGGCAGGATTTATGTGGGCATCATTCATGTGACACCCTGGGAATGGCAGACGTGGGGACCATATGTTCCCCGGAGCGCAGCTGCGCTGTGATTGAAGACGATGGCCTCCACGCAGCTTTCACCGTGGCTCACGAAATTGGTATGCAATGCCTTTTCTCCTCCCTCGCCAAGTCAAACACTTGTAGCAGCTGCAACAGGAACCGAAATATTTGGCAATTAATTCCAGATTTCTTCTGGTTCAGATGTACCCGTTGGGGATTAAATTTGTTTATATTTGCACTTCTAGGGTTAACTAGTATGTGAGAAGGAAGACAAAGTCAGCAACACGGTGTATGTTTCCTCTGACAGTGTCACTTAAACGTTAAAGAGAAACTTGCTACTGCTACTATCTTCTTCCTGTCCTTTTAAGCTTTGCTAAGTGACTCCTAGACGAAATTTGTCACAGTCGCCTATGGAATGCGGAGATGTCCCTTTTGGAAGTCGTTCAGTATAGAACTGACTCATCCAGGGCTAATCAGTTTGCACAGAGATTTAACATGTTTGGCTCTATTGTTGAGTGAGAATAGCAGACTCCCATCAAAGGTAATCAGTAGCTTGTAGAAGATATTCCTGTGTCCTTCTTAATAGCATAGACAAGGGAAGCCAAACTCAACAGGGTTTGCTTTAAGATGTCACTTCCCCAATTCGTTTGTTTTAAGAAACATCCAAACCCTACAACTCTAAATTTAGGACTCAGTTTAACTGTTAAAATATGTATGTGCCATAAGGAATACGTGCTTTCTAATCATTGACCTACACTACTATATGTTTGTGAAATTGGCTTAATACTTTGGACTAGGTGTTTGAATTAGACACTCTGGGTTCACTTCTTGCTAAAGTACCTTCTACCTGGATCACATGGGTCCAATTATTTTAACTCTCTCAAAGCTTTAATTTTTATATGTGAAATAATATGAGATAATAATGTCCATTTCATGGAATTATTTCATGGGTATTCATATCCACATGTACTTCTCTTGTGCCTTTTAGTTAAAAAATTCATTTATTTTCTTAATGTATATATCACCTTTTAGCATCGTTGTTTTGGTGGGACAAAATATGGTTTGATCATTATTGTAGCTTTAATTTTTTCTGTGTTTTTTTAAGAGATTTAGTTTCTTTAAAGCTAAAACCATAAATTTTTAAATGGAAATTAAAACTTCTATTTCACAATCTTGGCAGGCAGAGAATATCTAGCTGTTATATTTCTTTGAGGAGTCAAAGTAACCTCTAAGTAAAGGTATAATCTCATAAGTCCCAATATTATAGCACTTAAATAGAATTAAGTAGTTATGTTTCACCTCTTATGGAATAACCATGACAGTAATGTTCCTAGCACTCCTGACACTCTTATGATCTCAACTACAACAATAAAACACAAACATAAAGCTTTGATATAAATAACTATACAACAACGTCATGGATGAGTCCACACTCCTTGAGCATCCTTGGCCTCAAGAGCCAGATCTGAATTGGAGTGCCAAGTGCTGTCTGAATGTTCTCCGTATTATGCAAGTGATTTGGGCATGTTGCACTGGAGGAGCTCATAGGCCTGATGGTGTTTTTAAAACATAAGCCATTTGATCTTCAGGGTAAGGGGCTTGTCTTCACTTGTCTCTCACTTATGCCTATGAAACTAGCTAATAACAACACACTCTGATATAGACCATTAATCAGTATTTATTCCATTATCGGTGTATGTACATGAGTAAGCAGGAGAATGTAGCAAGGGAGCTGCTCAAGGCAACACTCAGATTCTGTAATGGGAATGAAGAAGAATTCATTCAAGTCTTCCAAAGGATTGTAATTAAATGGAGGAGAATTTAAAAGTACACCATTGTTAATCACCACTATATAAAGTGAGAGAAGTCCCATATGAAAGCATCTAAATCCCTCAAGAGCCTGATGTGTCTCAGCAGGGTAGAGAAATGACAGGGAATGGGTAGCCAAGCTGGGTTTTGGTGTCATCCACCCACAGGACCCTGAGCTCCAGATCCAGCACTTCACTGGAGAGATCAGGCATTCCTTAAGGAAGGACTGTTTCTTCTCTCTTCTGCTCTCTGTAGTGATCTGCTTTCCCAAGATGGCAGCATCTGGGAGGTCTCCTGTAGGAGAAATGCCCTGGCTGTCAACGCAGCTTCTTCAGGACTGCTTTGACTCCCAAGCCAGTTAGGCTGGAATGAGGAGCCTGGCAGTGTCACCTTCTCCAGTCTTCCTGAATTCCTCAGCCAGTGCCTTGGTTATGCCAGCATGCGCACAGTCTGAGTGGTAGAAAGAAAGTCAGATATGATAAGAACAAATGTTATATTAAAACTATATACACATATGCAATGAGAACTTAATGACACAGGATTATTGGACATAGTTATAGAACAATGTCAGAGAAATGTAGACTTTCATATGCAAAATCAAACCTCAGTCTTTATTGTATGATAACATCCTTTGGTCCCCTTTAACTTCTTGGTTGGATCACCTCTGTTTACCTCTTTAAAATTCTCTATAAATCATTCTCCAATCAAATAGTGCCTGCTTAATTTCCCTTTTTGGATTATGAATGGCCTAATTTGAGACATATAAGGTCTAGAAATATGGATTTAATTTCCTTTTCATAAAGAAATCTGGCTTTCATTTGCTTTATTTTCTAATTGCTTTATTATTTAATTTTGCTTTTTGCCTAAGTATTACGAACATATGTTATAAAGTATCAGCCAGAAAATTTTTAGAAAATACACAAAATATACCTGATCTTCTGTGTATTATTAAGAGTCTTATCCCTAAATAAATCTTAAACAATACAGCTCACTGATCTGTTTCCAGTGCTTTTATTTTTGGATCTTTGCTTCAAGTCTTCAGCACAGCTTAAGCTCACTGTGCCCTGGATTCAAATTCTGCTGTATTCTTTCCATGGGATTTCCCTTCTTTCCTTTTATTACATGTTTGTTGCTTTCCAGATTTAGAAGCTGTGTAGATGGGCTATGTATAGTGACAAAAATGACATTTGGAAACATCAGTGTCCCAGTGTTTTGAATATACTTAAGCCTCATTCCAAACTGTGCAGTTTGCTTCATGCAAACAGATAGTATAAATGTGTTACAGAGCTCAAAACACAAGATGGAAGAAGATTTTCAGGCTCTTCCTATAATTTTTCTACTTTGTTTTTTCTATAAGCAGTAAAAGGATATGTCTGATTAAGAATAACACTTCCATTAACTGGCTTATAAGTTCTCATGGGAGAGTCCAACTGCTTCCTCTTTTTCTACATAGTGGTTTCAAATTTAAGATCAGATTTATTTTTTGAATGAATAAGTGAATCTAAATTTCCTTTTTTATTCTACCCTCTCTACAAGGAAAAAAAATCTACCTTGAGACTCATAAGATAGAGGAAAAAAATGAAATTTTTGTAAATTGCTTAAAGTTAGAATGCCGTGGATGGAATAAACAATTCTGAAAAGATACTCTTTCATGTACTACATATTAATTGGATTATTTTTTCCTGCTAATTCTTTTTTTTAAGAGAGAGAGAGATAATTTTTTAATATTTATTTTTTAGTTTTCAGTGGACACAACATCTTTATTTTATTTTTATGTGGTGCTGAGGATCGAACCCAGTGCCCCGTGCATGCCAGGTGAGCGCGCTACTGCTTGAGCCATTGAGCCTCATCCTCAGCCCCTCTGCTAATTCTTAAAAAAAAAAAAAAGACAAGAAAGCAGCTGAGTTTTGGAGGTGCATAATCTACCAATACCAGGCTTCTGGAAAATAACTATTGATTAGTAGGTTATTGGCACTGGCAGTAATACATAAATTGCCTTAACTTCTTAGAATATTTCAAAAAGTTACTTCCAACCATCAAAAACACAGTCGCCATCCATGCGCCTTGGGTGGAGGTAGGAATGTGTTTACAGCCATTTTACAATCCAAATGTGAACTGCAGAAAGTTTTCAAGTTGATGTAAGTTTACATTTTGAGTTTATATTTTTAACTTGTCAAACTTTTATTATAGACTTGTTATAATAAAGATTTCACCTGCTGCACACATGGTTGTTAAAAACAATAATTTTATTGATGTCAAGCCAGCTTCTAATACACTAGGGAGAACAATCTGATTTTATTTAGATTAATGAAATCCATAATTTGCAAACATGCCAAAGGTTTGCTTTATAGTAGTTAATTATAAAATGTGTTAAGTGAATCTCTGCACTATGAAAGACTCCAATGTGCTTCCTAAGCTAAAGCCAGGCAATTTTAAAAAGTCAAGGCCAAATATTCAGTGAAGACTTGGGAAATAGCCGAGACACAACAGCAGGGTTGCCTGTGTTTTGCTGCGGTTAGAGGGTGTTCTCTGGTTGTGCTGATCAGCCTGTGACTACTCCCATCGATGATTAGATTAAACAAGGCCATGTTTTGAAAAGCTGTGGCAGCCCTTGACACACCATAGACCAAAGCTAAGTGCACAGCATCAGATGTCCAAACTGGCTGTGAGATGTGAGGTGAGAAGGAAGCTGGGATTTAACTTGTTATTTATCCCCAAACCCATCGCTTTAATCAATGTGAACGGAACATTTTTTTCTATCCAGTTTGGAGCAGTGCCACACTGTCTTTTTTGGCCTCAGATGAAAGGTAGGAATAGGTCTTTGCTATGTGTCTAACAGTATTGAGTGATTTAGTGCTTGTTAAGTTTTTAAAACATCAAATCCCAATTCGTGTTTCTCTAGGGGATGCCTCTTGATTTTCTGCTGCATGTGTGGAAATCAAGTTGCAGTTGGCAGAAAAAGGAAAATTGCACTTACTGTGTAATTTGTTTCTCCTCTAGTAACTAGGAATTTTTCTCTTCCCCTCCCAAATCAAGGTGTTTAATGATATTAAAATCATCAAAGACTAGTATACCCATAGTGAGAGCACAATGATCAATGAGGATCTATTAGCAACCCAGTGCCCCGTGCATGCCAGGTAAGCGCGCTACTGCTTGAGCCATTGAGCCACATCCTCAGCCCCTCTGCTAATTCTTAAAAAAAAAAAAAAAGACAAGAAAGCAGCTGAGTTTTGGAGGTGCATAATCTACCAATACCAGGCTTCTGGAAAATAACTATTGATTAGTAGGT